GAGCAATTGGCATTTACTTATCTAAAAATTGTTATCAATAGATATATATTATTTATATCAAAAATAATGTCAGATCCCGCAATTTGCACTTAGGAAAACACATTTTTCAGACAAATAATTTAAGGCCATTACTTTAACACTATTAAGTCAGCCACGCGCTTTCTGTGGCTCCCTCTGGCGGACTGACAGCTGCGGAGGAGTCGCTCCTGCAGATGCTCGAACTCCTCTCCCTCTGCCCAGGCCAAGGGATCGAGTGGGAGACCCTATAGCCTTCACCACTACTGAACAGGTCAATATCATGCAAGAAAAATATGCAAATATAAGAGTACGACTAACATACCCCATGTTCCAGGCCATGCTTAGGTTTTTATTTTCTTTCTTTGGCGATTCGTTTTTAGGTGTTTAAGGATATACGAATCAATAAGTTTGACCGATTGAGAAAAATCCTTGATTTCTGTAGAAGAGAGAACTTTTAAGACATGCTATTAGACAGCATAAAAGAGGCAGACAAGAGGATAGGGCGCAGAGAAAGTGAGAGATTGGCACACTGTTGTGCGTAAAAGTGCTGCTTACCCGAACTCTTTCCAACAACTTGAAAACTTTGCGAGCGTCTGATCCTCTGTTGATTAACTCCTCATCTCAGCCGTAGGGAAAACCGAGAAAGAAAAGCAAGATACAGTAGGTTGAAAATGGGGAAAATAAAGCCCTTGATGCGCGTTTACTTCCCGCAGAAGAGCCTTCCGTTCGCTCTCCTGTCCCGGTCCAGCCCCAGCCACCAGATCTGATCCCTCCCCCTGTGCGCGCGCGATCCAACCAAGTGCCCATTTCTGCCCGCGTGGAGGCGCTATGGATCCGCAAGAACCGGAGTGATGTCGCCCGCGTGAACAACCGCCCCTCCCCCCTCCCCTCCTATTATACCCCCATGAATAAGACAGAATGCCAAGCACAGCTGGAGTTTTGAGAAGATCCCCCCTCGAAGAAGCGTTAAACTTTTCAAAGTGATTGTTATGCAGTTGTAGTTAGTATCATAATATATGAATGTGTTATGGATGTGGCCCTCAGCGGAACACATGTGGACACCGAGGTTTAATGTCCCTGCAATAGAGCATTTTTGGTTTTCACAGTTAATCTCACACATGTGGTGCTCAGTCCGTTTGAAATAGAACAGGATAAAGAGTAGACTTAACCCTCCCATACTCATAAACACACACACACACACACACACACACACACACACACACACACACACACACACACACACACACACACACACACACACACACACACACACACACACACACAAAATGGACCCTGCTTGTGTCTGGTGGTCTGGTTAGAATTAGTAGGCCGAGTAAGAGGAGTTTATACTTTATGTAAACACTAACAGACTGTCCATGAGTCTGCTCTCCATGTTTAGACGCTTTTAGGTGCTCCAGCTGATTGCCGATTTGTATGAGTGCCCGTGGACATGGTGGGAGGTCTCCCTGTTGCAGGATTTACTGTGTATGTACACATCTGCAAAGACATTTACATCAACACTCTGAATGTAAAGCATATTTACATGTGCAGAAACAAATCATTGTTCAATTTGCTTGTATTCTCTGATGTGGCCCCGAAGAGCTGCCAATGCATTAATGAGCAACAGTGCCACTAATGTCTTACCCAGGACAGGACATGGGAGGCCATGTCATGAACATGCTGTTACATTCAAGTCCACATCCGTTACATGAGTAGTTATCAGTGGGGAGAGGGAGATTAGATTAGATTAGAATCTTTAATGACCACACAGCCAAACTGGTGAAATTCGTGTTCAGTGCAGATTATTACAGCTTGTTCCATACAATTCAACATACAATAAACAAACAATAAAAAGTACAACACACAGAACAGGGGAAATACAGTTATAAATATATATATATATATATATATATACAGATACAGTTATACAGATGAAGAACAACAACAGAGTACGACAGGTGCTGATGTTAATGACCAGAAACTGGAATCAATTTCTTCAACAATACAACATCAAAGTGGAATTTCATGAAAGTTTGATCTGATCTCACCAGGAATTATCAGCTGCACTTGCAGAGATGTAGGTATACACACAAAAGTTAGACCCTATGTTTTTTAGTTTCCTCTTATCTTAAGGTATCGTGTTCGGTATTTCCTACCTTTCAGGTGTTGACTGAAGTAACCCAGGACCAAATAGAATCAACATTTTGTTCAGTCCGTTTTGTACAGCCTGTATAGGTATATAGTACCATTATTTAGAAAATTAAAAAGTATATTTGTAATGGTTTTGCTGGCAGCCAGTCACAGTAATGTTTCGATTTAATACCACCATTTTTTTTGGACCAAAATACCCCAATATCAACAATGTGACAATAATTCAGGGTGAACTATAGGAGCTGCCAACAAATATTAACTCAATATGAATTTTGAACTACTCATCAGCAATGTGAATATGTAAGGTATTATGTGCAGCAAGGCGGTCATTCATGAAAAAAAATAACACAGATAGGGTGATCAGGATCTCGATAAGTGCACATAGTCCCTTGATCCTCCTTAGCAACGGTCTTTCATCCCTAGCAGCTGTCTGTTAACAATAACTAGAGAATGCAATTCCTGAAGAAATTGGTAGTGGGAATGCTTTATGCTGAAAAGCTGACGCTAAACTGCTATGCTGAAATGTAATGTGTAAGAAGAAAGTGAAGAATTTAGATTGAAATGATACATGAACACTGGGGGCTTGAATGTGTGATGAGAGAAGAAAAGAAAGTAAAAAGGCTTGGAAAAGCAGCAGAATATTTGAACTGCAAACTTTTTAACTAACTTGATGGTGAATGATCTGTCGCCATGCCAACGGCATTTGATGACACCACACACACACACACACACACACACATACACACACACACACACACACAGGGATAGCAGAAAACTGAATGAGCTTCAAGATGAAAAGAGTGACATTAAGAGAAACCAAGCACTATGCAACCTGCCTCTTTTAAATAAAGGAAAACATTTGCTGCTTTTGATTATGTTTTTAAAAAAATTAGAGGAATCCAACTCTATGGCTTCATAATTAGGCCAAACTTTGGTGCTGCCTACCGTTATTTTGTTAGAATTGTTATATTGACTGAAAGGGCTTAACTTTGTCACAATTAAATTATCATCAAACCATTGCATCAACAAAAGGAAGAACATTTAGCTAATGTGCTAATTTGATATGCATTTGCCTGACCCAACCCCACCCGTTCCCCAAAGAAAACCCACCTAAATATATAAGTACTATATTTATTTGTTGTTCTTTTCTTTTCACTATCTCTGTAAAGCAACTTTGAGCACCCGTAAAAGCGCTTACAAAATAAATCTATTATTATTATTATTATCATTAAATGCAGAGGTGACCTTAAGACAAAGTTCTTAGCTCTGATCACCCCCCATTCACTCAAACTGGGTTTATCATTTACATCACCTGCAACAACAAAAAAAGAAAACAGAAAATGCTGCATAAAACTCTCAGTAGTTACATAAGATCATGTAATCACACGGAATGAAGCCAACATCCAGCCATGATCAAACATGCTCCAGCAGGTTGAAAAAGGTGTGATAATCTCATGCAAAGAAAGAGGAGCAGCATAAATACTGTGCCACAACGGATGGTATCAGAACACAAACACACACAAAATATAAAGCTATATTCAATCAATTCATTTTTGATTGGATTCATCTGCACCCACATGCCCAAGCTCCCTTCTAAAAGAGCATCATGTTCCTGTGACCAATCCAAACCTTTCCCCTGACACTAGTTTCTGATTTCCATTTGGACCACGTGATTGGAAATGTAATGAAAAGATGAGTAATGCAAATTTGGTTCTCTGTCTGCCTCCTTAAAAGTCATTACAACATTTAAAAATGTGTTTTTAAAGTCCTTTTACTTAAAGTTTCTGTGGCAGTCTGTTGAAGACGGGCCAGCAGAGGTCTTTTTAGTCCTGCAGCAGGATTAAAACATGTTCCGCATCAACCTGCATTCATTCTCTGCTGGCTGTGGAGAATAGGAATGTTCTTCCAGGTTATCAAACAAACACTTTTTTGTAATGCTTAGAAAAAGATCAGCATGGGCATACATTCTCTCACAAACTTCCATTCATCCACCCTCGAAGGTGAGTTTGCAATCCACTTTCAAAGGGAATACAAATCGAGCATGGTAGGCTATAGCTATTTATTACAATAACCAGCAGGAGTAAGGCGAATTACGTAAAATAATTCCCATGCAGTAAGGGCAAAAGGTAAACTGAACATTTCCACTGCTTATTAATTACTTATTATCGGGTGCTTTAAAAAGAAAAACATAGGCTGGTATTGGGCTTCTCTTTATATGGAAATGGCTTAATTTTTACTTTTATTTCATTGCATCACACAATCTTATGAAGATCTAATTAATAGCAGATGTCAAATATTTTGTTTTCCAGTAGCCTATGTAATGTAGTTTTATTAGCATCAATTTATGAAACTGTAATAGTGTTTGTTGTTACTTTGACCTGGATCTAGGTTTATATAGCCTTTGTAATTGGATTCCAAAGAGTAGTCTATTCTTCATTTTCTTTCTGTTAAAATGAGCAGTTTGTTTTTACTTGACTTAACCAGGGCAGTTTTAGTCGACTCCTTTTTGAATGCAGCTTGCTGAATAAAAAACCGTCCTGAAGTTGTTTTCTGCGGCTGTCTGTCTCTTGTAGAAAACAAACGGTTAAACGCTCATGAAGCCCCGACAACACATAAACAGACTGTGATAGTTTGACTCGGAGCAAACAAAGGACTTTTCGCGCCGTGTGTTTAAAAGCCCAGTTCAACCAATCAGCGTGCAATCAAAGCACACGAACGTAATGTCGCAACCTCACATAATCCAACCAATCACAGTGCCACGTCTTTCTCTTTCCCTACGTTCAAATGTAAATGCTGAAATCTGGCCAATCGGCTGATGGCGGGGAGGAGCTGTGGAATTACATCTAGTTAAGTTAGTTTGGCTCGCAGGCAGTGACTAAACAGCCAAGCTTTTGTCCTCCTTCAGTCGAGTCGTTCACAACTTGTCTTGCTCAGAACAGGTAAGGCCCCGCCGTCTTTACATGTTGTCTTGGTAATGTGGTTACCGAATGTCTGAGGCGCTCTTATTTGTGTTATGTATCGCACGACCAGATATTCTATTTGTGCATATTTACAACCTAAAGGCTTTAGTCCATCTAAATCGTTTATATGTTAGGTTAACATACGAAACCTTATTAGTAGTTAAATCATTACATTGCTATAATGTGTCGCACGTTAGTTTTTGTACTGTGTTTAATCCAAGTTCCAAACTGTTGAGTTTGGGCCTTGGTCGGTTTTGAGACACAGGCCTGTTAAGCCTTTTGCTGTGTGCGCAACATGCAGTTCAAACGCCATTTGGTTTGGTAGCTTAGCCTGCTAGCGTTAGCTGTAGAGTCCCGTAGCTCCATATTTTAAAGTTTGAGTGCGCAATTTGGTTAAGAATCAAGCTGATGATAAATACAATGTATAAGGCACATACCTCGTGTGAAATGTATAATTATACATTAGGTTACTTTAAGTAACCTTTTTGGCGCAGATTAGTTTAGGCGGGAAGATCCAAAATGGAGTCGCGGCTTTTTGTCCCAGATCATTAGAAATCCGATTAGAACAGTACTGGAACTAGCCTGCTTACATTGTGGTATGGAAATGTTTTTTCAAAATTGAACGACGTTGAATCTTGAAATATTAGCACTCCGAAAAGTTAATTTAATAGTTATTTTGCACTAGAGTAAGTATTAAACTTACCTAATGTCACTGCATGTCCAGTTGCTTTGTCACTACGTGGGTTCGTTGTGTTTTAATTTCATATTTTTGCCTCGTTTCTAGAGCAATGCCGGCCGCGAGAAAGGACCCAAATAAGCCCAGAGGAAAGACCTCCTCCTATGCTTTCTTTGTTGCAACATGCCGCGAAGAGCACAAAAAGAAGCACCCTGGAACCAGCGTAGGCTTTGCAGAGTTTTCCAAGAAATGCTCTGAGAGATGGAAGGTACAATGTTCAATTATTTTAATTCCCATATTGTATATTCAATTATAGTAGACAATGTAAAACATACTATATAGTTGTCTAAGTATTTTGAATCGGGGTAGAATTGTGTTTTATCAATGTCTGATATTTGGGGACAACTTCATCACAATTTTGGGAAATGTATAACTTTTTTTCCCTTCTCCCCCTCCATAGACCATGTCAGCCAAGGAGAAGGTCAAGTTTGAGGATTTGGCTAAGAATGACAAGGTTAGGTATGAGCGAGAGATGAAGACATACATCCCTCCAAAAGGTGCACCTGGCGCTGGAAAAAAGAAAAAGGACCCCAACGCACCAAAAAGACCACCGTAAGTCTAAAACCCTCGCCATGCTGCCTAATGTAGGGCTTTAAAAACTGAAGAGCCGACAAATATGTTCAACAATATTCCTTGCAATAGAGTTGTGAATGTGCAAACGGCATTGTGGTGGTTTCTGGCATTAATTATTGTCCCTTCCCCCAGTTCCGCTTTCTTCGTGTTCTGCTCAGATCACCGTGGCAAAATCAAGGAAGAGCATCCTGGTATCACTATCGGTGACATCGCCAAGAAGCTTGGAGAGTTGTGGGGCACACAGACTCCCAAAGACAAGATTCCTTTTGAGGCAAGGGCTGCCAAACTGAAGGAGAAATATGAGAAGGTAACTTCCCGTTGTCCTGTATTTCTTTATTTTTATACATTAAATTCTATTGCCAGGTAAAAAATACAAATGCATACATTTGTAGTGTATATATGTGTGTGTGTATATATGTATATGTATGTATATATATATATATATGTGTATGTATATATGTATGTGTGTGTGTATATGTGTGTATGTATATATATGTATGTGTATATGTGTGTGTGTGTATGTATGTGTATATGTGTATATATATATATATATGTGTATGTATATATGTATGTGTGTGTGTATATGTGTGTATATATGTGTGTATGTATGTGTGTATGTATATGTGTGTATGTGTATATGTGTGTGTGTGTATGTATGTGTGTATGTGTATATATATGTATGTATGTGTATATGTGTATATATATGTGTATATGTGTATATATATGTATGTATGTGTATATGTGTATATATATGTATGTATGTGTATATATGTGTATGTATATGTATGTATGTGTATATATGTGTATGTGTATGTATATATGTATGTATGTGTATATATGTGTATGTATATGTGTATGTATATGTGTGTATATATATATGTGTATGTATATATGTGTATATGTGTATATGTGTATGTATATGTGTATATGTGTATATGTGTATGTATATATGTGTATATATGTGTATATGTGTATGTATATATGTGTATGTATATATGTGTATGTATATATGTGTATGTATATATATATGTGTGTGTATATATATATATGTGTATATGTGTATATGTGTATGTATATATGTGTATGTGTATATGTGTATGTATATATGTGTATGTGTATATATGTGTATGTGTATGTATATATGTGTGTATGTGTATATGTGTATATATATGTGTATATGTGTATATATATGTATGTATGTGTATATGTGTATATATATGTATGTATGTGTATATATGTGTATGTATATGTATGTATGTGTATATATGTGTATGTGTATGTATATATGTATGTATGTGTATATATGTGTATGTATATNCTCAATCGCGAGTACACATGCTGCAGAGCAACTATTTCAAGTATACTACATCATTAAGTGGCGCCGAAGGACTGTTTAAATGCATGTTAAATGCCCAGCATTCTGCGCCACTCTATGACGTAGTGTACTTGAAATAGTTGCTCTGCAGCATGTGTACTCGCGATTGAGAAACGGCCAGAGACTGGAATCAACAGACAAGACAGGGGGTGAACACTTTTCAAAATAAAACAGGAAACCAGAGACAGACAAAACACAACACAGACAGGCCTCTGTAATTTTAAATTGGTGAGAATTACATTCGTAGCAGCAGATAGAAATAAAAGAGACCAACCCTATAGTAAAACAGAGTTACATAAATTATGTTACAGCAAAAGCTAATGACCTGCCCGCAGACTCTTTAGTCATTTGGCTTATCTGTGAAAATTATAATCCACAGTAAAAGTAAGAGCTGTGTTTATTACTGGCATCAAGGCAGTGCTTGTTCACATTATTATGATGGATAGCTCAGATTTGTGTTTCTAGTAAGATTAATTCTGCCAATCGACTATGTTCATAAGAAGTGTATAAAGAGGTTTAGTAGTTACCTAATTTGCCACAATTCTTCTTCCAGGATAAAGACTAATTTTATTGTTTGTTTCAAGATTAATTCAAAGAAAAACTCACAAAATCAACCTGTCTGCCAGTTGTTTGCAGCTTACTGCCGCGTTTGTCTGCCAATTTATTTATTATAGTCTAAATTCCACAAAAAACTTCAGTGTACTTTCAGCATCACTGGGTACAGACAAATACACAACATTTCTGACACTTCATATTATTAAGATTGACAATTTTGCTAGCACGGTACACTACACCTTTTTGTTCTGTTAAAAAGGGAGAAAAACAGTGAGGAGTGTCATCACACAGAGAAGGAAATGATGTGAGTGAAGGGAAACAAAAAACAATTGCGAGGATTCTGAACAAACACATGAACAGCAAAGCAAACACTGTCAGTGTGCACATCAAATAAAGAGCGGCAATAACTCAAATATGTGTGCACTTCAATTCAGAGCGGAGACACACAGCAGCTTTAAAAAAATCTTCCAACGCTTCCCTGCCCATTCACTTTGAATGGGTTGACGTCACTTTGCCTCGCTTTTCGCCGAACTGCATTGTGGGGAAAGCGAAGATTTCCAGGATTTTCAGGATTCAAAAGTTGAGCAATGTTCAACTTTTGAAGCTGAGGTGGAAGCGTTGTAAGCTGGGAGAGCCAGACCGCAGTTCATTTCCTCATATTCCAAACGAGAAATTACGGTAGCAAATCACCCGGTTCTTTACGACCAGACTATTTACCGGGATACAAACCGGAGGAACCAGGCATGGAGGGAGGTGGCAGAGACAGTGGGTGAAACTGGTAGGTTTTTGCCTGTTTGGGGAGTTTATATCCAGTTTACTTCGTTTTAACATTGCTATTGCTTTGTATGTAGGGGCGGGAGATTCATGTGATTGGTTGTTGGTCGCGTTGCTCGCAAAAAATCCCCAAGCTTTCAGACACGCCCACCTCCAAGATTTTCAAGATTTATTTCAAAGCTGCTGTGTGGACGGGCCGTTAAGGTATGAGCACAGCATACTGTTTGTCTTCCACTTCCCAATGAGGACAAACCTACGGTGGCCAACAGGTACAGACAGGTTAGAATGTCCCAAAACATAAAAGTAAATATAAAAACACAAATGTGCCAAAACACATGCAAATGAAGATGCATCTCCACCAATTTGACACATGCGCAGCATTTAGAAAACATAGACCAACTGGACGAAAGATGCACTGCGTTTACTGTTATTGCTGCATAAACAAACGCTGCAAATACAAACCGCTGCAAGATGCTCAAAATATGGACAGTAAAAAGTGATGCACACAGCTGGGAACAGAGCACTTGTTGACTTTCGGAGATTACAAAGTTGGCCACCTGTCACTGTTATAGGAAAGTTACCTAAAATGTAAGTTATACTGGCTTTTTTTTTAACAATGATCGAATGATTCCTTCTGATATAATTTCAGATCTGTAAGCTAGCCAGCACACCTAGCTAACCTAGTCATTTCAAATATACCAACAAAAGACTTATGACCCAAACTTACTGCATCACTTTTTAGTGTCACCTGGTTTCTATTTATTTTTGAGCTTTTTGCATCGTTTATTTTATGCAGCACTTTTAGAGAATGCTTCATGTGTTGTCAAGTTTGTGAAGATGTTTCTTCATTTGCATGTGTTTTGGCACATTTGTGTTTTTATATTTGCATAGTTTTTGATACTGCAGCGCGTATCTCCTAATCAAAGTGTTTTGGGCTGTTGTAGCTTGTTTGCATAATGTCGGCCACCGTACAAACCAGATGACTTTGGACAAAACACCTTTCAAAAACCCACATTTCTAAATAAATAACGCTATTCTTTCCTTTTCTGTAATAAAATACAGCAATGTTTGTAAAGTCGACACCTCACAAATACAGGATTAATTCACTTCCTCCAAAGTCATGTGTGTTAGTGTCATACAGGCATCTGTTATCTTGTCAACATATGACACCAGGTTATACTTCTTGCACTCACAAACATCAGCGCACACAATAATAACAAGTTGCACATCTGCACTCTGATCATGCTCCCGCGAGGCAGGCGTACAATCAAAATTTAACGAGACTGATCCATCACAAAACCACTGATGCACATACACACACACACACACATACACACACACACACATACACATACACACACACAGACAGACATATAGAACATAGATAATCTAGCTCCATAACTCACTA